TTTTTGAAAGGCAAATGTCGAAAATTTTGACAAAAAAGTCGGTCTGTTTAAAACGGCCCTTAGCCACCGGAATCATGTTAAACTTTCAAACAACGCCTGCTGTAGTGCCGATCCCAATTTTTACCAGGGTGTTCTCGAGTCTTTACCCTTCACAGACGAATAATTACCAATTAGCGGGCGATTTGGGCACTACACCAGTGCACAACTTTGGACCAAAGGTGCCGTGAGGGGGGGTGTGGTACCTGCCGTATTGTTTTGCGCCGCTCTATCACAACACCTGAGAGAGTCCAGAACGCGGTCCCTGGGCGAGAAGCTGGGTCTCCTGGACCAAGGTGGGTTGGGGTTAGATGGAAGAAGTGCTAGGGGAGTTGTAGTTCGCAGGGTTAGGGTCCCTGAGCCTTGGAGGGGTCGTTTGATTGTGTCTGGTGCTGCTGTCTGCGCACAGCAGTCCGCACCGTGTTCATGATCTCCGCGCGCAAATGCACAACTGACACTCTCGCTGCTGCTGTTGTATGGGGCGCAACTTTGGGACGAGCACCTCGATTGCTTATACCACGAGCACAAGTAAGGGGTTAGGCCGCCCAACAACCTCGCAGCAGCATCTTGTGCGCGAAGGACAGACACACTTCAGACAAACAAAAAAAGGCCAAAAAAACTGTTGTTGTAGATTTTGAATTTCGGGTGGTACGCTGCAATCATTAGCAGAGCTGCAAGGCACGGTCCATTCCACCGCGAGCTATGGATATGGATATGGCTGTCAATCGCTGTCGCTACTGCATTTTTTGTTTTTGCCATGAACGGCAAACCATGAATGTGTGCAGAACTTCGCATGTAATCATGATATAAACTGCTGTGTGTCCGGTGGGTTTTTCGATGAGGATATACTACTTCTTCATGTATATGGCAGTAGTCTAGTGACCCACATCACCTTTGGTCGGCGAATGCGCGGGCGTTCAAGTGTGTAGGACGAATAATACACTTATATACGATGTTTACACAGCGGCTAGGAATATTTTCCTATTGTTGTCTCTGATTTTTTTTGGTTTGGATAACTGCAGGTGAAAATGTTGAGCCTGAGAGGCGTGCGCAAGAGGGCGCACCCCAACTCTGGCAAAGGACACTGTGGTCCACTCTCCATAATCGATCTGAAACGATTCAAGTCGGGTTACCCCCCGGAACAGTTCATCAGCTTCGCACCAAAGTAGCCGATCTCGGACGCAAAGCGACGCACCCACTCTGTCTAAAATTCGGAGAATTCCCTGACGACATAAACTTCGGCGACTACGAGGTGGAGAGACCCATCCAAGACGTGTTGTCGGACTCTCGCCTCCTCATCATCAATAGGAGTACGTGGGTGAAGGTGGCGGAATGTGGTCGATGGGACGCGAAACACATGGAGGTCGCGGCTGTTGTTTCAGGGTTAGAAAACTTCAGGCTCGTGAAGGCGACGGAAGGGGGCGAGCTCGTTCCGTGCTACGGCGCTAACGACCTGCAACCTCATTTCCCGCTGGCAATATGGCACCCATGTGGACACTTCGAAGCCGTGTTCCCCTGTCCTGTCCCAACGAAGGAGCCAACCGGAGCGAAAGAGTCTGGGGTGTTGAATAAGCCTCCCGCAGCCAAGAAACCCGCCGCAGTGAAGGAGCCTCGCCTCGTCAACTGGCCTCCCGCAGCAAGGGAAGCCGCCGCAGCGAAGGAGTCTCGCGTGGTCAAGAAGCCTCCCGCAGCCAAGAAACCCGCCGCAGCGAAAGAGCCTCGCGTGGTCGAGAGGCCTCCCGCAGCCAAGAAATCCGCCGCCGCCAAGGGAGGTGGAGACGGCTGGGATATTGTGGGCAAGAGTGGGCGCCCGATGACCGCGTGTGGTGGTGGTCTTGTCTACGTGAATGAGCGCGACAAAGGGAGCAGCGCCATCGACAAGGTGTGTACGATACAAGCTTGTTAAGTCTCGGCATGCAAAACACGTAGAACAACATATTCGCACGATTGAGAGCGAAGTATCTGATTGAGAACGAGATCGTGCGATACGATGTAGCTTGTCTACTGCTGAGAGGTAGAGCTTGCTGTGCGGCTTGAATTGAAGGGCTTGCCCATAGCTACAAGCCGATACCCGGGTCATCCTGCGGGTGTCTCGCGTTGTGGAGCTACACCGCGGAGCAGAAGCTACGGGAGGGCCTACCGCGCCAGGCGACGGCGCCCTGAAACAGTTTCGGGCAGGAATAGCCAATCTGGGGAAATCTAGCAACGTGCGTAGCTCCTCGCTGCTGCAGCCGATGGCAGTGACACGCATATGCACGCGAAGCTGCTGAAGAGAGCTTCAATTTGCGCCGCTTTTTGGAAGAGCCCGTCCCTTGCTTCCCGAGAAATGACGGGAGGCGTCTGGACCCGAATTTCGATTTTTTTTGCTTCTCGCTCTCAATCGGAAACTTCGCTCTCAATCGTGCGAAAACCCTGTTGTAGTACCATGCGTGTTTAAAAATCGAAATTAAAACTGATGGGAACAAGTATTATTGTCGTGCAAGGCTCGGGCCTTTTGGCCAAGTTCGACACCGGCAACCCGTACACCACGCTGGATTGGGGAGAGGAGGAGGAGGACGTGGGGGAAGGAGAGCGAGTAGTTGTGGAAACGGTTGAGGCAATCGAGGAGACGGACGGAGCGCACGCGGGGTCGGGGGTGGAGAATGTGGTGGAGACGGAGGAGACGATGGAGGGACGCTCTACTGCTTCGCACAGGTTGCCTCGCAGGGGGATCGAGATGATTCGCTCGGCGGTTTTGGCGGTTGTCAATGGTTTGGGTGGCGTTGTCGACCGTATCGCCACTGCTCTGTTCGGCCGCGTCGACCCCTTCGAAACGACGGGCAAGGCAAGCCCGGTGAGAGAAACGGTTTCCTTTTCTTCACACTTCAATGTAGGGCTAACCTTCAGCACGAATCGGTCGAGAGCCGTGTATGCTGAATTCGTGCAAGGCAAGGGATACGTGAAGAATCACGAAGTAGACGGTGGTTGTATGATGCTGTTGCGCAGAGAGCCTAGGGTAACTAGCTGGCCGGGTGGGGTCGAGACGGTGAAATGCAAGTGTTCGGATGAGCCGGGAAAGGGTCAGTGTAAGACTTGCATCTGCAACAAGACAGGTTTAATTTGCTCAGAGCTGTGTAAATGTAAACGTGCTTGCTGCGTAGAAAAGGGTTCAGGCACTTTCATGCTATTCGATAGAGATGGGGGTGACTCGACAGAGGGAGAAAGCAACGGTGAAAAATCCGGTGATGAGGATGACGTTTCGCCTGGTGTGGGCGGTTTGAACGGGGGCATGTGTGTCGGTGGGTTTCGCGAGGCTGATGTTGCAGAGTACGAGCAGCGCGATCACATGGATTGGACCAGTCGGCGAGAGCAGTTGATTGTATCGCCGGGCCAACCGGTTGGTGCCTCGTGGGGGGAAGGGAGAAATGAGATGTCTGTGTGAGGTGTGGTGAAATAAAAAAAAAAGTAAGAGTTGGTTTCTCGATCCGGAGCATATTGTTAGGTTTCGAAGGTACTGCGAATGGCTTCGAGTCGATGCATTCCAACTCGAGATTGGGTGCCGTGGTGTCATACACCTCTTTCTAACGTGGAGCACCCATCCGTCAAACTCAACTACCTGCAAGTGTACCTGTGTAGGCGAAACGTCGGTGCACTTCCACAAAAACGCGCAGCAATCCGCAAGCCAGCGGCTATCACCCCCGCCCCAACAAAAAAATACTGCTGTATCCTCCTACAAGCACCCCCTATTCAGGGCAGAACACAAGCCTCGACCCCCTGCTGTTGCCGCAGTAGCTTCCATCCGTGTACCACACACCCCAAAATTCTCCGACCTTCACGTGGTGGGCATGCGTGTACTTTGCTCTGCGTAAAAAAACGCACACAGTCGGGGGGTTATCTACAAGCCAACCTCCCCGGTCGGTACAGGGTTCCAGGAAAGATAGCGGTAATTTCAGTGCCACGCCTTTCGTCGCTACCGCCAAAGCCGCCTGGACAAACCCCACAGGACCCTTGTACGGAGGGCTCGTGACGACCCAGTCAGGTTTCTTTCCGGGGTTGGCTTTGATAATTCATCCGGAAAAGAAACCAAGCTAGCGTCCAGGTTGGTACGTGGCGATAGCCTGGTGGCGCAAACATACAGTGGTGGAGGTTCATGTGAGTACGCCATTCCTTCTCGCCGCGTTTGATCAGGGGATGTGGATATAAAACTTCTGGACACTTAGGAGACTAGACACCTTGATATGTTCGAAAAACTGCACCGCCTTACCTCGAGCTCACGTCGTTCGTGAGAACTTCACACGTGCCCCCAAACCCTTGTGCCACGGCGTCCTCCGGTCCGCCGCACATGTCCAAAACACAACCCGTTATAGCAACGGCGGCCCGCAAGGCATCCACCGCCGTCGGCGAAGTACAGTACCGATCAAGCCGCCGGCGTTTGTCGTGCGTGACAGGTTCAGGAGCGGCGCTCCAGGTCCGGCTGTGGCGCGGCGTCTAACTTGCCTTCCGCGCTACCTTTTCCCTGCTGCGTTTCCGCTCCTCCTTCTTGTACAGCTCCAGCAGACAACCCGAGCGTTTACACAGTGCGAGGAAATTTGTGTTCGCGTCAGTAGACTGAAAGCCGGGAAACATGTCTGCGAAACCAGCTTCGTCTACAAAACTCCTGACTAATTCCCCCGTCCTCGCCCTGGTGTGCCTGAAGTCTTCCCCGAATTCAAGGCAAGCGCTACAACGGCGGCGGCCGCTGATCTGCATGAAGTCAAAGAAACCTGTCGAAATTTCGCAGATGAACGGCGCGATACGCACCATCAACTGCGCGGCCAGGGGTCCCATTGGGTCTTTGCTAAGCCATGCACAACATGCTCATGGTCATCCTATTAACCATGACCAGCACACAGGAAAGCTGTCAGCGCTCGAGCGTCAAGCCGACCGCACCTCCTTTTTTCGAGGTTATGCCGCGTCTTCTACACAGCGCGCGGCAAGGATGATTACTACTGCTGTAGTGCCGATCCCAATTTTTACCAGGGTGTTTTCGAATCTTAACATTTCATAGAAGAGTAATCCCCACATATCGGGCGGTTTGGACGATGCTGCTCTGCACAACTTTGGACCAAAGGTGCCCTCCCCCAGCGCGACGCAACCAAGTTGATCGACATCTTTCAACGCGTTTCCTCTCCTATTCTCTAAACAATAAGGGACGAAATACAATATTGAAACACTCACGGGTGTAGTGTATGACTTCTTCCAACCTCCTGCAAAGTCTCGTCTCAGTACATGTCCTGAGCGTGAAGAACGGTGTGATTGAGTGAGCCTGTGTGTCACCCCGCTGCCGCCGGGGGCTTCGGTGGTCTTTGTCGTCAAGGAAGGGTACATTCCTCAAAATTTTGTCTGGACTTTTTTTATTTTTTTCCTGTGGGAGCAACACGTGTGAGTTGTCCCAGGATGATTGCACATTAGGCCTGTGCTCCATAGGTGACATTTTTTTTTTTTTTCGGTGATTTTTTCCGATTACCGAAATAAAAATCGGTGATTATTCCAGGTGCACTGAAATGTTTTTCGGTGAAAATCGGCGACAAATAAAAAAAAAGGTGAGAGTAAAAAAAATATGTAACGGTGCTTTTCGGTGATAATTTTGAAGTGTAATACTGGGAAGCTGCCGACACTGTTCTTCGGCGATTTTCGGCGATGTCTTCAAGGATCGTAGGAAGTACTCCACGTTAAAACGTTAAAACGAACTCTGGTGTTCTTTTACACATGTATCTGATCATCAGCTCATCAACGACAGAAGACCGATAGATGCCCTCCGAAACGATTCAACTCTAACGATAGGTACACAGGCACGCACTACGCACTACATTCAGCCAGAGCCCGGCTCGCCCACAACGTAGACAATAAACAAACCAAGAAGATCCATCACAGGTCAAGGTCGCCATCTTCCGGGGCATCCTCACCCGCTTGCCTCAGCCCTCTGTTACTTCCCCTTCCCCTATTGTACTTCAGTAGTGCGGAAGCGCATATGCGGTCGCTGTACACCGACTCTTGACGTTCACTAAAGCAACACCGCAAGATGGAAAAAACGCGTTCCATGAAAGCTGACGACGGCTGCAGAAGAACAACATCCAACACCAACTCGTGCCACGTAGGGAGATTTTTCTTGTTGTCGCTCCAGAAAGTCATGTTGTCGTAGTCAGTGTCGGTGTCGGTGGCGGCGACGTAGAAGTCGTTCTTCTCCTTCAGAAGCCCGTCCATCATGTCATCGTCGACAAAGGGGAATACCGAGAGGCTGCGTATCTCGTCGTTGGAGTACTTGTGAGTCTTCATGTACGTGAAGTCCGTGAGCTTTGCGGCTTTGAAGAGCTTCATTGTTTCAGCCAGCTTCGCCTCAGAGTGGCTGCCGATCCTCTCGTGTGCGTACCTGCGAAGGGCGTCGAGCATGTCCTGCATTTCGCTCTGAATCAAGTCAGCGGTTGCCCCCTGCATAAGAAAGGGAAATCGCCGACAGCAAGAGGAGGGGATGTCACCACCTGCTAGTTTTTTTTGTCATGCTCAAAGAAAATATAACACTATTTAACTACATACAGCAGGTAACACTACGACACACAACAAAACAAAAACATCAGCGTGAATAACGGTCAACAGCATACATACCATGTCATCGCCTTGGCCGACCTCCTTCGCGACAAGTGCAGCGACGTTGGGCAGCGGCACGTCCTCAGAGAAGATTCCATCCTCGGGCAGCTCGAGCTTGTTGCGGACTCGTTCAATAACGTTGTACGTCTTGTGCGCCTGAGAATATCGGCGAGCGGGGGGGACAGGCGCAAACGAGAACATGTTTCATGCATCGCCGGGGGAGGCTTTCGAATCATTCCGTCTGAACGAGAACCAAAAAGAAGAGAGAGGTGAGAGGTGGCATCAAATAGATACGTACCAGCGGCATGTCCCCCTCCAGAAAAATTGTGGCGCTAGTAATGATGCGGCCGACGTCCACCGTCAAAGCCAGCTGCAACTGGAGCACCAAGCTCTGGGCCTTGCCATCGTCCCTGAGTTTCGCCAGGTCGTCCCTCATGAACTTCACCGCCTTGCTTTTGGTGTCGTCCTGGCTCTCGTACTTCTCGACGAACTTCCCCACACCAGGCCAGTTCACAGCGATCACTTCGTCCCGCTCGAATCTCGAGCCCCAACGGTGTCCCGGCGTTTCGGGAGCGCGTACCCCGACTTCCTTGCGGAACAGGTCCTTGGCGAAGGCGCTGTGCGAAAGCAGGGTGTGGAGCTTGCCCAGGAATACGTCGATCTCCTCGCATACCAGCTGCTTGCCGATGTTGTTGAAGGTGTGGGAGAAGCACGGGATGACGACGGCGAACCTGAACACCAGGAGAAGCGAATCCATAGCAAGGAGGTTGGCCGCGCAGCTGTCACCCATCACGGCGCGGCAGTTGTTGGGGTCGAGGCGGAATTGATGGGTGACGATTCGGTTAACCTCGCCCGCGATGTCCGCCCCCGTCATGCTCTTCTTCAGCATGCTCAAGTGCAGAACACGCTGCACCGGCTGTAAAATGCAGGATGGGAAAGGCGGGCGTGAGAGAGGGGGTGGGGGAGGCAAGGAAGGATTGATGAGGTTGGCGTCGTGAAATCATGAGTCATGCCAAACTGATTGACTTCGGGTCTACGTTGATTTCTTGGTGTCAAATCTCGCGAGAGCGCGAGAGCAGACGAGAACACGGCAATACCCCTTTGCCGACCATCACGTACTTTTCCACTGGAGTCGATGAATCGGACCCCCAACCCAAAGCACTTGGCAAGCCACGGCGTAGCGTCGAAGCAGATGGCGTAGGGGCGGTTGCCGATCTCGTCTTGGAGCTTCTTCCGCTGTTGCACCATATATAAAACACGAAGAAGCACAGAAATACGGGGCGGGGTGCCAGCGGGAGATGACAAAAAACGTGTTGCAATGGTAGGACAAGAAAGCTCTGTGTTTTGCACTCGACCGTGTTGTGGATTGAGCAACCGCAGATGTGCAGAAGCGTTCAACATGCCATGTCTCACTGCGCACTCACGAAGTACATCCAAAGCAAGGTCTACCTCACCTCCTCCGCCAGGATGAACGGCACGTATTTTGCCAGGTGCGCACGGTGAGGCAATCCACATTGCAGTGGCTGAGGAAAGAAGGAAAAATCGGGTTATCCATCGCGTTCAGCGGGATGCCTGCCGCCAAACACCCCTTCACCGCCTTGATCTGCGTCAGCTTGGCTTCGTCGCTCAGGGCGTCTCCGTACATGCCTCCTGACTCCTCCGACACCTCGGCATTCGCGTGGAACGTGTTCTTGTGCAACAACAACAGCCGAGCAAGCGATAGCATGACGATGGAGGGTTGTACGAAAAAATGAATCACTGCGATTGACGACAAGCTGTCGAAGGGAACAGCGCCATGCAAAACATGGCAGAGACGTACCCAGCAGCACTCGGCAACCACAAGCTGCGAACACAGTGTATTTGTCAGAAAGCACAGTCACACCCATACCCCGAGAAACAGCAGCGTACCAACCAATTGCAAACGACTACTTTTACGTGGTATTAAACAGTTTCTCACTTTGTCCTCTTCCTTGGTTTGGAACAGCTTCTTCACATTGAGTACGTGCTTCTTCCCCTTGCAGTGGGTCTTTGTTCGGTCCTTGTGCAGTGAGACGATCTTGCCATGGCACGCGCGACACCCCATGACGCCGGTGTCGATCACGTACAGAGACTGGTTGGGGAATTCTTGAATCCGTTGATATACGGACACTTGGGCGTCTTTCTTGGGGATCTGCCCGCGCTTCGGTCCACGCGGTGTCAAACTGCGGCCCGAAGATTGCGCCCTCTCGGCGAATTCTCCCCTCCTGCTGCTGTTGGAGACGGCTGCGCGCCGTTGGTTGATGCGCTCCTCCCGCTCGGGTACAGGAAGGGTGTCGGCGATAATTTCTACTCTCTTCTGCCGTTTCTCCTGAGCTCGTTTCGCACTAGAGTTGGCTCTTTTTTGGGCTGCAGCGCCATCTATTTGGACCCACGCCAGTAAGGTCCCTTTGCCTGGCGCGGGGACGCTAGAAGCACCGGCTCCATGGCGACGGTCACTGTCACCTTGGGCGGCCGAGGTGGTAGGAACGGCAACACGAGCTCTGACATCCCGGCCAGGCGCGGGGACGCCAGCAGCACCGGCTCCATTACGACGGTCACTGTCACCTTGGGCGGTCGAGGTGCTACGAATGGCAGCACGACGAAATCCGACACGATGGCGGTTAGCCACCCAAGCAGCAGATGCAGATTGTGGGATACTAGCAGTAGCCGCCGCCGCCGCTTGAGCCGCCGTCGCCGCCGCAAGCTCACATTCGGAATCTTCGCGATCACTACCGCTGGAGTACAGCGCTACTCCGAGGAGACCGCTCATCTATACCACAAAGTGTGTCCGTACTGTGTACCGTGTGTGGTGTCTGCAACGCGGCGCTTGGGTTGTATGCGCTGTGTGCTGCTGTGCTGTTGTGCTGCTGCGCTGCTGCGCTCGAGGGGGGTATCTGCTAGGATTTAGGGGGTGCGGCATGTATACACGGAGCCCCCTAAAAAAAACGGTGAAATTCGGTGAGGCGCCCCCCGTTTTCGGTGATCGGCCACTATTTTCTCGGTGATTCAAATTCCTCGCTTTTTTCGGTGAAGTTTTCAAAATTCGGTGATTTTCGGTGATCACCTATGGAGCACAGCCCTAATCTCAAGTCAAGCCTAATGTGACGCGACGATGACCATTCTGTGAGTTCATGTACTAGAGGGGTCGGTTGGCCCCCCGTCTGGCCGCCCGCCCCACATCCCGTTGAAAGACGGGGAAATATCTCTCGAAGCCGGCAAATACGTATCGCCAAGGGCATGGGACAAAGGACGGCTGTGTTATGGCGCAACCCGATGGCAAAAGGGAAACACGAAGCAATAGAAACGGCCTGGAAAACGAGGACCGCGGTACAACAAAGCCAAAAGTGAACGTCTTGCATCAGGGCATACTGCGTGCCGCTGGTATTAGGGACAGGGTGGCGCTGTGCTTGTGTGGTTCATCGTAGTAGAGCTGACAACTGTGGAATATTGGTGCGTGTGATGAGAAGATGAGCATGATTGGAGCAGCAGCGGAGGACAGGACGTGATGTTCGTGATCGTAGATATCAGATGTGAAAGGTCCTCATGCAGGTCTACACTGACACACACGCTGCAGGCAACACGTCGCGCGGAATCTCTAGGCCGGCCCGAAATGCTGTTGTGCACTAGCCTACAGCAGTACACCGGTAGTTCTTGGGAGTGTAGCAGAATGGGGATTCTGCTCCTTTTGTCTTAGGGACTGGCGGTGGCGTGCAGCAGCAGGCCATGAACAATGCAGGCGGTGGTTCGAAAGGTCGAGCACAGGCACCACATTGCCGTCATTTCCTCGCAGCAGTGCGGCTGATTCACATCGGTCAGACCATGTACATGTGATCTTGGCTGACGGGGGTTGCCTGGTACATGCGCTGCATGGTACTGGACGAAAAGTTCAAACTCGTGGCGAGTCTATCCATTCATTGCATTATCTGCGAGGTGACATACTTTCTTCGTGGTGAGGTTTTCCATGTCTACCGCGCGCAACAGCCAGCACGCCCAGTTCGCCACAACACCAAACCCATACCTGCACCGTGCACAGGTGTACCATTGGGCAGAGTGTGATGACAGCGCGTAAAGCTTCAGTAAGCGTTGTTGTCGCAGCACCAAACTTCGTCAGAAATGTGGTGGCCACAACGCTTGGCACTCCGTCGCAACGCATCCTGTCGCAACGTCCTGAAAAAGTGAAAACCGGCCCCACTTTTTGGTGCACTCTAAAATGAAGTCTATGTCACGCGACGATGGCATCCTTTGAGTATATATTTGACATGATAACATGATAGCAGACACAGGGTGTGCGTACCAGGTGCCAATTAAATCACCGCTCTAGGGGTGGCGGTAATGGCGGTGTTTGAACCGTCTTGTCGGCAGCTTTACGAAGACGTGTTTGTCAGTCCTCTTCCTGGAGAAATTCAGCTCTTGGTGTGAGACGGCGGCCTGGAACTTGATTTTCCTTTCATGTATAGATCCCAGATATTTGAGGCCAACAAGAACAAACAAAATTGTTTCGGCTCAGGAAGTATTGATGTTTGGTGCTGAATCGCTAGAGGGCATCATGGAGCAGCGGTACGTGCACTGCCACGCCCAGATCTGTTACTGGGGGCGCGCACTGTCGGAGGCTGAAGATGCGGTCTGACGATACGCGAACTGGGTCCGAAATTTTGGTCCGCCGTTAGAATCTAAAAAGTCCTTTCAGTTGAAAGACTGCTACAGTACGACGACTGGAGCAAACGTTCCTGCGGAACATTTCCCAGCGGGCCTCGCACACCCATTTAGTGTGTGATCGCTGAATGCCATTCTGGTCGTTTTCGAAACATGCCAAACTCAAGACCGGTTTTGTCACCACACGCTAAACCCTCGGTCCAGGGGATGTAGGGTCTTCTTGCATCACACACGGAGAATTTTCGCTGTGGTTGTACATGGTGTGGCCCTATTGTAAGGAGCGCTAAACAACGCGGTGCAGAGATGGGCGATGTCATGGGGAAATCTCCAACGAGCTCCAATGTCGCGAGGAGGGGACCAAAACATGAGCTGTTTGTGAGACTTTACAAGTTGCGTCAGTACCGATGGTCAGAATTAATCATCCTTTGTCCATTTTTCCGAGTCCGACCTCGTCGCCAACCCACCGAACAAAAGACGAGAGGTGACGCCGTGCACGTAGCAGCGGCTCCCCTGCGTTGGCTACGGCTCAGTTTCTGTATGAAATTTCAACCTACCGCGTATGCGACACCACTGCACTGCTTCTGCAGTAGCACGTACCATTTGCAATGCCACAGCCTTTCTTTGCGGTACATCGTTGTCCTACACGCACGAAACAACAGCAGCATACCGTGAACCGCTTTCGGGGGGCGAACTCAAAGGTAGAGGGTCGATGAACGAAGAAGAAAACAACATTTTCCCCGGAACTCAAAACCTTGTGTACGGCAAGCGTTGTTCGATCGAGGGGGCTAATTAATAGGTGTCGGAATGTAATCGGAATGTAAGTGCTGCCGTTGCTCTTGTTCAAGAATGGAATCCGCATAAATCGCCAATGTGTCCGCCGACGACAATCAATGCTTATTTTGTGGAAAGTACGGTCTGATATCAGTGCTATTGACGTGGGATACCAACAACATTTTACAGTTTTCCTCTCCACGACCCTTCTGGTTTGATTGATCTAGACGACACGACAACAGCCTGTTGCGCGCGGTCGTCGCAACCCCGGTGCCTTGATAGCGCGTACACTTCCCAAGCGTACGTCCATCTGTAGCTGTGCTTCTCTGTCTCTATTTCTCCCCTCTCTCTTTCAAAAAATATTGACGAAATCGGTACGCCTTTTTTTTGCGCAGTCCAGTGGTTCGGAAGTCAAGCCTCAAAGGAATCAAGCGTAGGACAACGCATGCATACACCGAATAACACCCCTCGTGCCCCTGGAGCTGCAAGCTTTCCAGCAAATAGAGTTCTTTGCCAACTGAGGTGGCCCCCGCCTCCTTCCTGGTGCTGTCTGTTAGAAAGGCTTACCCCATTTGACTACTCAGTCAGCGCTGACTGAGTAGTCTAATGGGGTAAGCCCGCTGACTGAGTGGTCAAATGGGGTAAGCCTTTCTAACAAAATATATACTCTCGGCTCGTAGCCACCCGGCTGGTCACTGGGATTTTTGGAAGTAGGGATCTCCGGGGACGGACCCCTCGCCAGGCGCTGCAGGAAAACAAAACCAGGCTGGTCACTTTCACAAGCACCCTTAGTTCTTTTCCTGCAGCGCCTGGCGAGGGGTCCGTCCCCGGAGATCCCTACTTCCAAAAATCCCAGTGACCACCCGGGTGGCTACGAGCCGAGAGTATACCTTTTTGTTAGAAAGGCTTACCCCATTAGACTACTCAGTCAGCGCTGACTGAGTAGTCTAATGGGGTAAGCCTTTCTAACACTGTCTGCAGTCACAGGACGTGCCTGAAGACGCTGTCCTGGCCGCGCAAGCGCCGACGAGGATTGGGATATCGACCGCAGTGCAGGGAGTTGCGACCGCAATGATTCAGTTGGTGCTGCCGCGCCAGAAGTAGGTCCTCTCTGCAAAGCTCTGCTGAAGGCCAAGGCCATCGTAGACGAGGCCAAACGTAACAAAGATGAGCTAGATGAGCTGTACGCATGGTGTGACTCCATCACGGTGCAGGTGATCGACCGTTCCAGGACTTCGAAGACCTCGGCGATCGATGCAGCTCCCCTCGTCGAGTGTGACAACAAGCTCAAGAGGGTGGCGAAATGCTACCGTTCGTTCTGGATCGGCGCTCTCTCGTCTTGCGCGATTTCGCGCATTCGGTGACAACATCCAGGGCCTGCGCGCCAGCATCAAGGCCGTCGTTCCAATCATGGGACTCGCGGGCGTCGTGAACCTCGATGAGAAACTCGAGAAGGTTCTGGTGAGACTGTTTCTCCCGTGACTAATGACCGGTAGATAAGAACAATGTTTTCGGGACCTTGAATTTCTATGTGAGATGCCAGTAGCTTTCGGACTGGCCGCAACAGCAGGCCATGGGGTCGGGCGCTTGCGTTCGTGTGCGCGTCAACTGTATGTGCCTATTTATTGTCTGTGTTCGACGGGAATGTCGGGCATGGACCTTTGCATTGTCTCATGTGTTGTAGCCCCCATCGGTGAAACGCTGCCTCCTCCTGTTTTATACCCACCCGCTCTTACGTAGGCTCGTCTGCAGCCACGACCTCAGCTGGCACCTGTACCGGAGGGGATTCCGGTGCGTCAGTCGTGGCCCGCAGTGCGCCATGGGGTGGAAGACAGAGTGTGCCGGATCCTCGGTGGGGGCAGGAGGCCAGCGGTGGCGGCACTTACGGGGCGGAGCGGGACGGGGAAAACCACCTCCGCCGCCGCCGTGTTGAGAGAGCGGGGCCCTATCCATCCTCGCGCTGGTGAGACGGAGGACATGGCACGTACTCGCCTGGATCGCGTCCGGGCGTTCTTCCCCAACGGCACTGTGTAGCTTCGGGTGGACAAGGGGGAGGGAGACGAAAACCGCTCACCCTCTCTGATGCACACCCTGGCCAAGGCGCGTTACGAGGATGTGATGGAAAAACGTGTCGACACTCCCGCGGCTGGGGAGGACGGCGAGAGCTACGTGAACAAGTTTGTATCGCGGGAATCGCTGCGGTACCTTGTGGTGGCCGATGATGTGAGGGAGGTAGAAGTGGTCGAGAAGCTGAGGAAGACGGGCATGTGGGTGCTCCTGACCACCCGAATCGCTTCTATGGTTGAACCAAACGAGAGGGTATTGGTAGACCAACTCACACAGGAGGAGGCGGAAGACGTGTTACGAGGTGCGGCTGGGCTACCCGTCGGTTATCGCTTGTGTGATGACGCGATGAAAGTGTTGGAAATCTGCGGTCTTAGGGCGATGGACATTGCATTCGTGGGGAGCTGGAGCTCGGTGCGCACCGCAGACAACGGTGCACCTATAGACAGCAGGGCATGAGAAGGTGCCGTAAGGAAAATCAATGCCCAGATCGACGACGTGAGGGGTCAGGCAACAGCGGGAAATGTAAGGGGGATGGACGACCTCGACTTCGAAGTGAACAGGCTCGCGGTTCTTCACGCCGGCTTCAAGTACCTTGGAAGGGAAGATCCTCGGACCCAGGAGCCCTATGGAGAGCTCGCGGGGCTCCCTGATGGTCATTCCTTCGGAGAATCGGACGCAACGGTGTTTCTGAGCGATGGAGGGGACACGACGGGACCGATAGCGATCTTGGAGCGGTGGGATGTATTAGAGCTTACACCTCTGCCCGGTACGGCATGCACGATGCCCTTGTTGACTTCGCGCGGGACAAGCTCAGGAGTTGGCATTCTGTCCGCACGCCAGCGGTAGACAGGTGCTCCCGTTTAGATTTTGCGGTCGGCATGGACGTGTTCGCGCTCTTGGACATGTGGCGGGTGTTGGAGCTCGTGGGGGGCAAAGGTTGGTGGGCCTCTCGGCCGTACGACGATCAGCTGATTGGTATGGACCCCTGGGATGATTCCAAGATGTGCGATGTGAATCTTGTTGCCGAGCGATGCGATTTTGAGGCGCAGTACACCGGACAAGAGGCGCTCATGCGAGTAATTCTGGAAGGGTGCGACGACGGGGGAACAGATTCGACTGGGGTAAAAATTGTAGCCTCATCTCATCTTTTCCGAGGGCTTGCTTGCCAGGGACGCCTTGACGAGGCCATCGACATGCATCGCAACCTTGGTGACACGGTCGGTCGCAGCTTGCAGGTAGGGACCGGCGATGGTACGTGTCAACAATCTACGGCCGTGAACATGAACGGATTCTGCCAGGTAGTAGCCGGATTCCACGACATTGCCGAGGGCTGGTTTCGACAAGCGCTGGAGGTACAGAAAAATGGAAATCTTAGAGAGAGCTCGCACGCGGTTTTCACCCTGCTCGAGTGCGAGGAGGCGGCAAGGCTCGTGAAACAAGCGCTGGAGTTTTTGGAGGCGAGGTTCGGGCTCGACCATGTCCATCCCGCCTTCACGCTACAAGTATTGGCCATGCACGTGCGGGGGGCCGACGCGTCTGCAGATTCGCAACCTTTGTTGCGGCGAGCGTTAGAAATCAGGGGCTCGACGCTGAGGGCAGGCTTCGCTGAGAGCCAGGAAACTCTTTTTGAGCCGCAACTTGGCATTATGATGCACGAAGACCAGGCGATGACTGCATGTTTTCGTAGAGTAATGCGAGAGACTTTGAGTTTTTTCGTCTTCGTTGGAAGTATTTCTTTCGTTGTCGCGTGTTGTTTATTGGTTGCTGTCGGAGGTGATCCCAGGTGCGTACAAGACTTACTCCTTCATATTTTCTTCATGATGGCCCCGCATTCACATTGGGGGTTTTCATCTTTAGCTTCGGCGTGGGTGAATGTCGCTCTTTTCGTACATTGTAGACTAGAAGAGTTTGTCTACGGTGTTCCTTTCTCTCGGCATGGTAACCAATCTGGCGCAAGGGAGGTGCCCGTTCGGAATATTCCATGGTATATACTATCCAACGACACAGCACATGATTGTGTCCACAAATGTCTCAATTTTCTCATTTTGGCGGAACGTTTCGCCGTATGCGTTGTTGCTTCTGTGGACGGATTCACCAGTTTTTTTTTGTTTTTTTGCCTGAAGTGCCTATTCCTGGTCTGCTTTGCTTCCTGAACGTCTCTGATATTTTTCTCTGGCTCACTCAGTAGCTATGCGCTGTGTCGGAAGTACGCTGTGCGGTAGGCTTCGGGTATACACGGTTCGAAGGCGGGTGAGGAGATCGATGTGCTGTGAAAGCGCGCGTGTTCGGCATGCTGTAGGCTGTTGGGCATGCTGCGTATGTTGACATCAGAATGTCCTCTGTCTAGACTACTACCGTAGTGTAAGCTGAGAACCGGCTGGCCAGGGTCGCTGAGAATGTCCAATGAATCCGGTTCGTGGAGTCATTAAGTAAGCAACACCTCGTGTTGCATACAAACGCAATCCATTCCGCACCACCAGCAGGTCACGCATAAAATTCGTTTTCGTCACCGTGGGACTACATCGCAGCTTGTACTACTGGATCTCCAGACACCGCCTCAACAACTCCTCCCCCTCCCCCAGCCGGCCTGCTACTCGAGCCCATTCGCCCAGTGTGTACAGCGCGTAGGCCAACTGTGTATCCTTTGGGTCGTCCTTCGCTTCCAGGATCCCCCATGGGGTGGGTACTGACTCGTTGTCGCTGATGGTGCCGTGCTAGCCGTGTAGCCAATTACATGTAAAGTCAAATGGGATGAAGCAGAGCGCAAAACACTATCGGCGGGATCCTGAGTTTTTCCCTTGGGGTTAGTGCTGTGAATGTCGGCGACTTCATACGACTCGTTCGGTCCTGCAGGTTCCCCTACCCAACGCAGACAATTGGACGTCGCCAACTAGACTACACCATCAACGTGAAGTTGACGACTAGACTACGTCATCATGGTTTTTCGCCAATCTTTCCGGGTTTTATTTCGCTCATGTGCAGCGCTGTCTCTCTCTCTCTCTCTCTCTCTCTCTCTCTCTCTCTCTCTCTCTCTCTCTCTCT